TAAATATATCCCATAAATATGATCCACTGATAGTCTCGAACGCTTGCTCATAAACGAAAATGAAATAGATAAGCTTAAACTGAGCCTAAACCAGTGGATTTAAAATAGTTTGTCAAATAATATAGATTCAAAGTTGAATCCCCATAGAAATGTAAAACCTAACCTAGATCCATTAACTTCGGTAAATAATCTATGCTCATAATTATCTAATTATAAGAATAATCCAGTGTTATATATGAGACTTAACCACAACTATACTCAAGTAGCAATACGATTAAAAAGAGGCATTTGTTCAATGGCCCAAATCCATCGTTACATATATGCATACATATATAACTTGCGAAAAAAAACAAATACCTTATGTTGCTCGATCTTCTAATTAACACAGCTAAACAGCAGTAAAAACGAGTTGAAATACAATCTGGAGCAATCGTACCAGAATTCACAGCGCATACGTCAATTAGAGAGTGAACTAGCCAACCTACAACTTTGCCACGTGTGTTTGGACTGCCCTAATGCCAAATGTCCACATGACAGTTCTGGGAAAACTAGATGCAATGCAGAAACTATATGTTGCCATGACGAGAGTTTAGGACCCTGTGTTGCAACAGCCAGCCCCACATGCGCTCCTTCTTACACTTCTGTATCGGTGCTTCCAGACGCGTGCACTTGCCATTATGCCTGCTTGGCCTCGGGGAGTGCCTATTTAGATGCAATAGCTGCCTTGTCCACTGTACCATGCTCTGGTGTCCGGCCAGAAACAGATAAAATAAGCAGCATCCCCAAGGCGACGAGAGGGAATCGCCACGAGGCAACATTGGCAAGAGGTATGAGCAAATGGCCGTCAACTATGATTCTCCCCGAGGGCGGAATGCATTCGTTTCTATTTGCTGCCACCAGTTGTTCAGTTGATACACGAGAAGACTTTCTTCCTGGGGCTAATATCTTTAAACAACAAATGCATTATGGATCGCATCGGACAGACATGAGCACATCGACCACTTTGCATGTGGATACATCGGCTTGTGCGACAAGCGAGTTGAGTTGGGCTGGTGGTGATGGGAAAATAAGCGACTTTAATGAGGGCAGAAGAGAAGAAATGGTCACAACCGATAGCCATGAGATTAGAAACGGCAAAATGAAACTTGGAACAAGACGCCTAGCTCAGGCAGCGGCTGAATTTCTGTGTGTTAAAGCCAAAGCAACCAGTTTGCCCGATATGAAGGAGATTAATTCGCTCAAGAGATGCCAGGCATTACAGCAGCGATTGGAAGAGAGTTCTATCGGTCGGCCGTTCAGCTCAAGAACGGTTGAATGCTATGATACAATTGAGGAGGTGAGTGAAGCTGTACTGATGACAAAGACACAGGACCAGATCACACTAGGCCAGCTGACTCCGGTTGACCAGCTGGTTGGATGCGATAGCAGAGAGATTGATCTGAGCGTTATGGAGCAGAATCATGAAGACTTGCTGGATGAGATGCAAGAGTACCCACAACACATTGGAGAGGAAGGCCAAAATAACTTGGAAAACCCTCAACTATCGGAGTGTGAGCCCCCGCCGATTGAATTAAGGGTAAGAACATGTATTCATTATTTATTCTATGCCTACTATCAATTACTTGATGCTATCTGGTCGGAACTATGGCCAATACGAAATAAGCAATCAGGAAAAATGGACAGTCAATGTATTTCAAGGTTGTGCAAATTCTCTAAAAGCAGTGGCAGTCAATGAAAAAATAAACTGAACAAGAGGCGTAAGTGAGAAAAACACAAAACGGAGTCCAAGAGTAATTCTCAACTAATTGGGTCCAAAATTGCGATAATTAAACACTTTCTTAACAGAATATGTTATAAATATAAAATTAAAGTGGCTGAATAATAGTCTGAATTATTTGCTATCTCATAAAATTCAAAGAAATGATGCATTTCGCCATGATGTCGTTGCCATTTTTAGACCACGTCAACATGCCAACACAGATTTTTCCTCTCACTCTAGTGAAGTTGATATTTTCAGCATTCCAAGAGGATGATATAATAAGCATGTGATTCGACATTTCACTTCGAAGAAAACATCGTTTAAAAGGCATTCGTGAATTGTTGGGATTACTTCCATTTCGAGTAGAAGTATTGGGTGAAGAGATTCGAATGTCGGTTCCACCAGAAGACGACGGCGAATTCCTCTTGACCAGTTGTCGATTGGTTCTACTGGAAGATTCATGCTGACGCTGTTTCCGAGGCAATCTCCTTCGATTCCGCTGAAAAGGTGCTAAGCTTTCGTCCGTCATATGACGAACATAATCAGAGCAAGGTAACATCGTCACAACAAAATTCAAGCTTACGAGTCAAGAAAACTCACCGGCAAATCCC